AATCTCTGAACTAACGAAACATGTCTTTTCTTAGAATTATCTTAATTATTTTCAAAATTATCACATGTTTCCAAAGAAGTTGCCCTTCATAATGGCCTTCTTTAAAGACTAAACTTGGTTCAAAATTTCGAAGAGCTTCTTCATCAGAAGTGAATACCTTAAGGAATCATTATGGATATCTAAGAATTTTAACTCCCAGAAAGCTTTGATTGAGACTGCGTTAACTGATTGTCACGAAAACTTTTTATAAGTTCAGCTTTTGAAACTCTAACGGATGATGTTTTCATGTTTAAAGGGGAATGTGTAACTGAAGCTTGTATTGATCATCCCATCACTATATCTATCAACATCACCGACGAACTCAGACGGTTTGTTTTGCCAGAACACTATTTTCCAAAAGTAATCTCATAGGTTAGAATGTCAACTTTATAATTATTGCGTGATGGACTTTCTTGGATTGCTGCAAATATCGTCAACATGTAAATGTTTCAGATTATAAGTTCTACAACTTAATTTTGATTTACAATCTGTGGCTAGATTATACTTCGAAAGACAAAATAAACGATTCTCGCTGCTTTATAACTCTTCACAATTTTCAAGTCAGTTATTTGATGCAATTCAGAATTCTCAAATTTCTAATCCTCTAATTCGAAATTCACAGCCGTCATACTAATTTCTTGTAACCGAAGTAAACTTTTGGTAATTTCACAGGATTCACATATTTTTCGGGAATTAATGTTAATTAATTAATTTATTTATTTATTATTTTTTTTTTTTTTACAATTTCTGCATCAAAACTCAGAGTTGATTTGAAATAGTTAAATTTATCAACTGCGTGCAGATGTTCATTTTCGCGTACGGGGATAAAATGAAGCAAAGCCGACAACTGTGCGTCCATCTAGCCATATTAGGTGTTGCTGGGCCTTAGCTTCCGTCCCAGTTGGAATTCCGGAAGGTCTCTCATCCCTTTCCCTATCGGACCTTTCGGACTGTCTCTCATCCCTTTCCCTATCATTAATCTCTCCAGAAGATTTCAGTGCGCCGTGTATTTTAAATGCAAGTGAATACATTATTCTCCGCGTATTTATTTGTGCCGTCTTGCGCGCAGATACTTTAAACTTCTCCATCCATAACTTCTCCGGGGTACGTCATAAATTTTAATATTTATAATATTAAAATTTTCCGCAAGAGAGTACAGGCATTTTCGCTAATACTCGGTAGTTTTGGAAATCTTTTTTTTTTTTTTTTAACCTCATAAGTTTATTATGCAGCCGCTTGTAATGATTATCCGCGAGAAGTTACTAGCCTTTCTTCTCACGAAATTTCTCTTTCTCCCATCCTGTCCCCCCCCAAGATCTTCAGTATTATATTATACTAGGTGTACCCGCCCGGCGTTGCCCGTGCATTTAGAAAATGCAGATAAGTGAATAGCGCAGGAATAGTAGTGTAGGACATGTAGACTGTCTCTCTCTCTTCCCCCCCCCACAAGCTACAAAAAAGAAAATGAATTGTAATAATCGATTTAATGTATCGTCAAAACAGCAAACTAACGCTAGAATAAAGAAATCAATTGTTACAATCGAACGTTATTTGAAAACAAATAATATATCAGTGAGTCAAAAAAACCGTGATTATTAATTATAAATAATTTTTTTAAAATTTTTCTAATTCAAAAATCGAAAATCGGGCTTCGAGGTCTGGTGGCCAGCCCCTTTGTGCTTCCGTATAAAAAATTCCAAAAATTCCAGGTCCCTGCGTGCGATAGATTTGGCTGGAGAGCTCGGTCAGACAGACAGACAGACACATTACACTTGCTTTTATTATTATAGATTGAGCCATCTACACATCAAACGTTTAACTGAAAATGAAGAAGCTCTCTGAGGGTATCTATGTAATAGGAAGGACATTTTCGTTGAGGAAACTTAAAGAAAGATGGCTCATTTAGTACTTTACATATAGAAATTGAGAGCAACATCCCTGCGATTACGTTTTTCATCTGGATTTAAACCGCGGTTGAAATGCATCTACCATGACTATTTACTTATGCGCCTTTGAAAAATTAAGAGAATATAAGAATACATGGATTAGTGTTTGATTGCAAATGTTTCACGTTTCACTTTGTTTCATACTGAATTTCAGTTTGTTTCTACAGCAAAAATGTGCGAATCCATTCCAGAAAGATTTATGCGACGCATGGACTAAAATAACAGTAAGTATGTTACTTTTACTAGTTTATGCTATTTTCATATTTTTCTCTTTTCATTTGAGTCACATGGCTTTCCTCATGTGTAACGTGTATACGAGCCAGTTTCCCTCAGAAAGTCCTCCACGAAGGCACCCCTCCTCTTAGGCAGATAGCCCTCGAGGCTTTGCCGTAATTAAATAACCTAACCATTTGAGTCACAACAATTGGAAACAATTGCTTTGAGGATGAATCAAACTCGGGAGATGTGCGACTGCAAACGATAGCGATAGGACTCAGACATCCAATAAACCATTCTTTCTCGATTTCTTTAGTTTTAAATACAAAATGATTTTACACGCACATCCTCCGTCCATTTAGTGGTAAAATTTGCGAATACGGTATCTAAAAACAGACTCGTGTACTTTTTAAAGTGTTCCCACTCGAACTTCACAAATCGGAAGCTTTTGTACATGCTCCTTTTTATTCCTTAGGGCAAACTCTAGGTAAACGTAATGTTGATAAAAGATGTACTATACAGTTAACTGACGGGAATGGCAAGTTCAGCCAGAAAGCTATGTAGTTTAAAAAGTAGGCTTAAAAACATTTTATTTATTACTTCCGATCAGATTTTATCAAATCTGGCACAACAGTTAATTTTTTATAACAGTTTAAATTGCTTAATATTTCTTTTGAAAATTCAGTGATGCACATCAAAGACTCGACGATTAATCTTTTAATTTGGACCTACAGTTTTAGAGAAATGACTTGTGAGGAGAAAAGTACATCAGTTGGTCACCAGTTCTATTTGCATAATCCCTACTGAATTCTAGTGGAAACGCCGCCGAGAATTTGATTCCGGGGTTTAATATTCTCTTACCAATAATCTCTTTAGAGAACTTCTGTACCGATAGCTGGTAAGTGCCTCGATGGAATACGTTCTTAAGTGTCCTTATGTTCGATAAATGCAGTCATTAAAGCACCTGAGAATATTAGGACTTACACTAGTATATATAAGGAATCCGGAATCTTCTTCCACATGCTGTCTTATAGAAAGATTGCAACATTAATATAAAATGCAGTCAACAATTTTTAGTATTGAATCCGTGATTGTGTTTAAAATACCACTTTTAGGTATTAAATCATGAAAAACGTTTTCTGTGTTATACATGCCTTTAATAGATAGGAAGATTCACGGCTTAAAGTATGTTATTCATTTTGCATTTAAATTCCAGTTCCTAATAAATTGATTTTTTGTTCTCTTTATTGGGACTGTTCGTACTCTCTAGATCAGGGATGTCAAACTCATAGGTACACTTGGGCCAAACGAACAAGGTTTAACTTTAGGCGGGCCGAAAAAAAAAAAATCAATATTTATAGAAACGTAGATTTATTTCGAATAATACAATAATAAACATATATATATTTATATAGAAAAGAACAAGAAAAATTTAATGTTTACGTCCTGATACTTGACATCTCTTCCCTGCTATTATCTTTCCTATTTCGGGAGAAATTTTGTCTGCAGAGATAACTTTCAACGCTGACCCAAGGTGAGCATCATTAATACGGTTTCTAATAGGAGACTTATTACCTTTCATGACTGAAAATAACTGCTCACACCGATAAGTGCTACCAAACATGGAAATAATTTCATATGCGAATTTTCGAGTATTTTCAAACCTGGCTGGTAAATATTTGTAAAATTCAGGCACGCCCACTTCAATGAATTTTGCTTTCAAATTTGAGTTGCATTGAATCTCGATCACCTCCATTTGCATATGGCTAGGTACTGAGTCAATACTTATTGAGAAAAATCGAAGAAAACAAAAAACAAAAAAAAAAAAATAAATAAAAAAAAAAAAAAAAATAATAATAATAATAATAATCAAAAAAAAAATCAAAAAATCTGAAATTTTTCAGATTTTAAATTACGTCCAAAGGGGCGTTTTTTTAACGTTTTGAGTGTTACCTTTATTTATTAAATATCATGTTCTTTGCACTTAAACCATAAAATTCAGTTCAAGAGCAATATCGCAAAATAATGTTAAATTAAGCATATCTTTAGAATTTCCGATATACACAGTCTCGCGAGCTGGAGATAAAAGTTTTTTTTTTTTTTTTTTTCTATATAACGTTGCCATTTCTCGCTTTTAAAGCATTGAGTTTGTAAATCAAAAATTCGTTAAAGTTTTACAAAATATAAAATCTATAATAAAACAAATTCCAAATTTGGGATTTCAGATGCCCATATTCACAGTAGGATTTCGTCATTCAAAATTCGATGGCTCTATGTACCATTGTTTTATCACAATGCGAGAAATAGACAATCATTTATGCAGATTTTTCATTATTTAATTTCTTCAAATATAATGCAGGACTCTAACATTTTGTGGCAACAGTTTGAAAAGTGAACCGACGTTTATGAGTCCGACGCAAAATGCCAAAACGAAAGCAATAGTCCTTCGGGACAGAAATCCCTTTGGACTTAAAAAAAAAACTGATGGGAATGGCACTTTCAGCGAGAAAGCTATGTAGTTTAAAAAGTAGGCTTAAAAACATTTTATTTATTACTTCCGATCAGATTTCATCAAATCTGGCACGACAGTGAATTTTTTATTACAGTTTAAATTGCTTACTATTTCTTTTGAGAATTCAGTGATGCACATCAAAGTCCACAAAAATGAAACGACGATTAATCTTTTAATTTGGAGCTACAGTTTTAGAGAAATGACTTGTGAGGAGAAAGGTACATGAGTTGGTCACCAGTTCTATTTGCATAATCCCTTCTGAATTCTAGTGGACACGCCGCCGAGAATTTGATTCCGGGGTTTAATATTCTGTTACCAATAATCTCTTTAGAGAACTTCTCTACCGATAGATGGTAAGCGCTTCAATGGAATACGTTCTTAAGTGTCCGTATGTTCAATAACTGCAGCCATTGAAGCGCCTGAGAATATTATGAATTCACACTTGTATATATTATGAATTCGGACTCTTCTACCACATGTTGTCTTATAGAAAGATTGCAACATTAATCTAAAATGCAGTTTAAATTTTAAGTTTCTAGTATTGAATCCGTGATTATGTTTAAGATACCACTTTTAGGTATTAAATCATAAAAAACGTTTTCTTTGTTATACATGTCTTTATCAGATAGGAAGATTCACAGCTTAAAGTATGTTATTCATTTTGCATTTAAATTCCTGTTCCTAATAAACTGATTTTCTGTTCTCTTTATTAGAACTGTTCGTACTCTCTAGATAGAGAATACTTCAAAAGAAAAGAATGTGGACAAAGTTGAAAATGCTTTCTTCAAAAGTAACCTGTTCTTCTAAAGAAGTGTGAATACAATGTACAATGTATTCTATAAAATTTTAGATCTATTTACAATAAAAGTTATTAAAGAAACTAAGTATACATTTTTTATAAATAAGCATGTATCTCTACCATATGAATTCTTAATTTCATTTATGCAGATAAACATGAAACAGTTTCAATCAAACATGAACGGAAATAAACATAGATTCCAATTCTTTATCTAAGTGCGTAATATAGTAATATAACGACAACAGCAATAGTATAACGTTTGTTTGTTTTTTGTCATTACGGCACATCTTTGAGGTCTAACTGCCTAAGGAAAGGGATGCTTTCGTTAAAAACCTTTCAAACGCAAACTGACTCGTCTACACGTTACACATGGGGAAATCCACGAAAATACCCATACACCCAGCCCGTTTGCAGAATGGAGCGTCGGGCCGAACTACCAGTGATCAACGGCTTTACCGCTCGACCGCTGGTGGGCTCCAACAATAGTATAAATATTAAGGAAACATGTACTGCATATTATAAATATCAGCCCATTTCCCCCTCTAACTGTGTCTCTCTCTATGTATATGTAATATATGGTATAAGTTTATATATATATACATATATATTGTTACGGTTTTAGTATTGAATTAGATATTTTTAAATAGAATTAATCAAAATTCTTTTTATATTACCTGGCAATGCAGCACGAGACTTATTTGAAGAGAAAGCTACGCCGGAAAAATTAAAAATACAGGAGCACGCACATTTAATAAATAGATATCTCGTAACTGTAATCTTTTGCTTTTTGGAAAAAATCGAGAAAATACCAGAATATTTGCGTGCTGATTAAAAAGCTTATAAAAAGCGAGAAGAAAACATCTCAATTCAGTTGTTTTATGAGTTATTTAGAAAATTGTAGTTGTTTTCTAATTGTAGCGAATTCGCGGTGAAATCGGATTAGCTTTCTCTGTCTTGAATTATGTTATGTTGAACGTTTTAGTAGTTCAAAATATAACTACTGTGAGATATTGCAATATTGTACGAATATCTGAGGAAATTTAAGCATTTTGTTTTATTTGTTGTGGTAATAATCAGTTTCATTCACTTTTCATCGGAATTGGGCATTAAATTTATTACGAACCCGTACCTTCGCAACGCTATACAAGTATGTATGTATATGCAATAACAGCACAAATTTCAAAGCACTGATGTAAGAACACTGATATGTAGATGCGTAGAAATACTGATGGCGTAGATACTTAATGCTTAGAGTGTCTCTCCATTTTGAAGAGGAAGCATTCGAGCTGGATTAAATTCCATATTTATTAAAAGATGCACTGCTGGTCACAATTCACTTGGCACTCTACTCGTGACTATTAAAAAACATTTACATTTTTGATAACTTTTGGGATAGGAGGCAAGCACAGCGAAATTACGTCCAAGCAGTGCACAGAGAGAAGCTGAAGTGAAAAGTGACGCATCAGAGTTCAGAGAAAGATGGTAGGGAATCAAAAGTTTAAGTTTTGACTTGCAGTTTGGTGATTGGTCAAGGAGGATCTGAATTAAGCGTTACGTAAAATCGCATGATTAATTCGAATGACGCAGTTTAGACTTATAGCGCTATTTTTAGGACAGAGAGATGAAGTCTTCAAATTAAATAAAAAATAAAAGAAGATATAGCCAATTAAATTTAGAAGTTTTCTTTTTATACGTTTTATCTTACATATATATATATATACACACACACACGGCTGATGTTGGAGTATGTAGAGCGGCTATGCACTATCTTTTCAAACATAGCGCGATTAACGACATAATGGGAAAAGCAGCTAATTTATCACACTTTGATAAAGGTCAAATCCTTATGGCTCAGAGACTTGAAACATTAACATCAGAAACGGCGTGTTTAGTGGGCTGTTTACGTGCAGTTGTTGTATCGAAAGCGGGGTATGGATGGTGAAACGACAAGTCGGCCGACCAGCAGTGTGTCTTCGAATGCGCATTGATTCCAGAGGAGAGCGGAAATTGCTACGCATTGTTCGCCGTAACCGAAGAGCTACAACAGCGGAAATCAACACCAACTACAACAGTGGCGACCCAGAGAGTTTTTCTCAACACACTGTGCGACGTACATTGCTGCTACGCAGCCGCCAACAGATAGCAGGAGAAATTCGACTTAACATCATGTTCTCTATACTGACTAAAATAGAAAATTTTACTTGTATGGAGAGTACTAGCACACAGCACCATGACCTAGCATCAACGATGCAAGTCAACACCATGTGTTCACAAATCAATCTTGTTTGGCCCATGGGTATGGAAACTATTTAAACTTCATTGAATGCACTCTTTGTTTGTGAGCGGGGCAGTAACTGGAGTACTTGGTTCTTAGCGAACTCCATTGAGAAATAGGTTCCTTTTAACGTGACACAACGACTCAGGTGTAACTGAGGTAACTGAGCTGTTTCGAGATTACGAGAAAACACAGCCCTTAGATATACAAAGTAGCGAGGCACATAACTAAATTTCTTCCCGGTAAAAGAAAAGCTGCTGAATTCTTAGAGAACTATGATATAGTATAAACATAATAAGTATTGATTACTAGGACATCATAACAAAATATTAGGAAAAGCAACAAGACTTACAGAATAATATAAAATACCAAAGCAACAAGAGAAGCGCATCAACAATAAAGAAAGACTGGTTCCAAATATGAAGTGAATTAATTATTCCCACAAGGGTTATCTCAATTGAAGATGTCTCTTCGAAAATGTTAAAGACTAACGAACATTTTGTCGCTTGGTATAATGTCTTTTTTAATGTCGTCTAATTTGGAGGCTATTATAGTTTATAAGATATCGAAGATAGAAAATTCACTTAATGTTTTATAACTTCGCTAATCAGGTTGAAAATGTCAGCAAACACAGCTGAAATATTATCCGAGCTACTTAGCTTCTTCATTAAGGAATTTGACCTCTCAGATTCTTTAGGAATTAGTAATCTTTCCATTATGAAAGGTATTACTTATTGCGATCTTTTCCTCAGAAAGGTTCAGACGTACCATTTGGGGGATTAGGAATTTGATTATGAACCAAATCTCGGTTAACGGGTTGGTGATGCATGTCTAGGAATGGCGCATTGCCACATGATCTGGAAATTAGAGGTATTAGGCGAAGCCTGGATATCTTCAAAATACATTTTCTTAATATTTTTGGGATTTGGGGCAAATTTTAAAATTCACAGCGTCTTCCCCACCATATTTACAGCAGGTGAGTTTTTGGAATCCATTTTACTTCAATCTTCACTTTTCAGAAGTGCGCACTTAACACACTTTGCAGCAAGTTTACACTCGTCCGATGGAATGGTAGGAATATTGACTGCGGCACTGGGCCACGCCACCTTTGCGTTTATATGGCTCAACTAAGATATGGAAACAAAATAAATTATCAATTTCATTATGCTTTCTGCCCCAGGCTCATTTACTAACTTAACCTGGAACAGAGGCATTAGTAATCTAGTTTTAAATTTCATCATATTAGCCGCCTTAATAATGTTTAAGCCTTGTGCAATTAAATTTTTCCTTCACCTTATCAATGGGCCAATCAAAGGGATTCTCCCTCAGCATCACATTTACGGACTTAACTGTTTTGGGGTGTACAGTATAATGCTGCCCATTATTATTTTGTAAGGATTATGTTAATTTTATTAACAGTTAAATTTTGAGTTAAACTTCCTTTCCTATCGCTTCTTAATTTCATCTTACCACTTCCGGCCAGAACGTAGTTTTAGAATCACGTCTGAATGCTAATGAGGAAGAGCGGTATTTAACCACGAAGTTCTACTGTCTTAAAGAGAACCAGAGATTCTGGCTAGCAATGCGTCCGCCTTTTTAGGCCGAGCGCAATAATAGCTTAAGAGAGACTAGCCTAAAAAATTTAAAAAAATTTTTTTAAAAAAAGCCTAAAAATTTAGACCCTTGATACCTTCGCAGTCAATTAGCGTTTAAGGGGCCAACTCTGTTAGAATCTTGATAGCTTCGGCTATTATATCTGTAGTTAAGATTAGTTTAATTCTTAGTCTCTTAAGTTCAAGCCCGAGTGTCGGCTTTATTGTACAACTCCAAGACGGAGTTCTGTTAAATCTTATTTGAATAATAAAGGGCCTTTTAACCCTTTCCAAGTTTATTTACTATCTCACGAACTCAAGCGATTATTCGCTTACTAGTTCTTAAGATTCTTCACATCCAACTGTAACTTAGAATTACATAGTGGGGAATCCTACAATCTGTTAAGTACTTAGAAATAGTCTTATGTCATCAGCACTGCTAGGAAAATGTTTTATGAAGTTATCCGATATCCTTGTTGTAAAAGTACAGTTGGTTTCATCCATTAATTTTTAATGGAAATTATTAAAATTTAACAAGAGGATAACCACTATTGGTTTCACTCTGAATTTGGGTGCTTCTGCACTTGGGGAAACCACATGTTGATCCCTTATTGCCACTTAGTTGTAGTCATCGTTATTCACATTACTAACGGCATCAAATTAAATAATGACATCAAACCCCTCTTCAGTAAAAGTTCTTAATTATTTTGGTAGTGTGCGCGATCTTCTTGAGAGAAGTGAATCCGTCCATGTTTTTGTTTGCAACTCTAATGCATATTTTAGGTTTAGATTTTTTAACATTTTTGTCCAACGTATGTACGGAATTTGCATAGTTAAGGACATATTAGAATCAAGAGCAGTTTTAGAATCAACAACAGCGTTAGAATTAGAAATCGATTAATTATGAGCTCTAAACAACTCACACTGAAATGTAATCATGTCGATCTGGCCTTTTACCATTTAACGTAAGATATCTAGTATAAAGTTCTCTCATGTTTACTCGAGGATATTCTTTCATACACTTCTTCCTAGTTACCTCATATTCTTTCATATACTTCTTCCTAGTTATCTCACAATCTTTTTTTGAATCTTATCGCATTTTTGAGAAAATCCACCGCCACGATGAAGGCCTTCTCGTTATAAATATACTTCGAAAGGGATTGAAACAACATTTTGTCATGATTTATATCATGAGTTTTGAGCAAAATAATCACTAAT